GAAAGTGCCATTCTTCACATCCAGTGAAATGCTGGTGCTAAGCATACAGAAGACACTCAGAAAAGTTTGACTCAATTTTAATTCATTTAATATGTACTCACCAACTATTTACTGAATGACTACTAAATACAACACCCCAGGGCTACAGGTAAAAATTGATATTTTCCCTTTTATGTCTCCAAATTATATGCAGCTAATTAGATGAATTTTCTATTGCTACTGAAACAAACCACTATAGATTTAGTGGCTTAAAACAAGTGTATTATGTCACAGTTCTATGAATCAAAAGTCTGATAGAACTACTGGCTGGGTGTTCTGTCATAGGTCTCAGAAGGATGAAATCAAGGTATCAGTAGACCCAGGATTTTATATGAAGGTTTGAAGAAGGAATGTGTTTTCAAATTAGTAGATCATAATTAAACCCATTATTTTGTACAATAAATATATATTAATAAAATAAAAAGTGTAAAATTTTAAGGATCTACTAGGTTGATGGAGAATTCAGTTCAGTTCCTGCTGCAACAGATTTAAGGCCTCCATTCCTCTGTAGACTATCAGGCAAGAGCCTCTCTTGGTTCTTCAAAGTCACCTAAAGATGTGAACCGAAGTTCCCAGAAAACAAACAAACATGAAAACTGGGGCATCTGTGTTAAAGCTTATATAAGGCTAACTAAGTAGAATCTCCTGATTGTAAAGAGCTGGAATGGTACAGATCTTAAACCAAATTATCTTGAGCTATCTCTAGATGTTTTAACAGCCATTCATAGTGCACTTCTGTATTAGACTAAATATCTTTGACTATCAAGCAACACAGACCACTACTTTCTACCAACCTAAATGTTTTTGTTTTGTTTTGTTTTTCGAGACAGAGTTTCTCTGTGTAGCTTTGCGCCTTTCCTGAAGCTCACTCTGTAGACCAGGCTGGCCTCGAACTCACAAAGATTCACCTGGCTCTGTCTCTGCCTCCCGAGTGCTGGGACTAAAGGCGTGAGCCACCACCGCCCGGCTCCTACCAACCTAAATGCTAAGAACCGTGCCGCATAACATTTGAAACCTATGACAGAGATTTCCCTGATTTGCTATAATCTGCCTGTCTGTTGTTCCCACCGATGCATTTTAAAAGTGCCTCAATTTGTCTTTCTTGTGTTCTGAAACTATAAAACCTTCATGATGCTGCCATTACTTTGAAACATGGTATTTGAGATAAATGAATTCATATTCTGAGGCCCTGGTCACCTTTGTGTGGCTCCATAATAAACTATCTTTTATTTCTTTTGAGGTGAGAACTCTGTTTTTACATAAATACAGTTCCTTATCAAATTTCTCAGTGTTTCCTCCCTACATCTTAAATCTGACTTTTCTTCTGCCACATCTTTGCTACTGTTACAGGCTCTGTGATTAGACTGGGCTTGTAAGAATGTAATGTTGGAGTCTAGTGTTGTATGATATTTTGTTTGTGTTCTGACAAATAAAGCTTGCCTGGAGATCAGAGGGTGGAGCTAGGACTAGTTAACCATAGAGACCAGGCATGATGGCACACGCCTTTAATCCCAGCACTGGAAGGAGGAAGCAGGAAGATCAGGAGTTCAAGGCCACCTTGGGCTACAAGAGATTGAACCTGTCTAAAAGAGAAACAGAGCCAGGTGGTGGTGACACACGCCTTTAATCGCAGCACTCGGGAAGTGGAGACAGGAAAATAAGGTGAGAGCGTGGAAGGGTCCCAAAACCACTTGGCCACACGGCTGCAATGACAGGCTTAGAGGCCCAGGCACAGTTCTGTGACAGGCTTACTGGCAGGCAACACCCAGACCCAGGAAAAGCCATAAAATGACCCCACCCAGGGAAGGCCTACATCCAAGGGGAAGTACCTGGCATCCCAAATATTCCAACCATTAGATAAGTTGGCCAGATGTCCCTGAGTCTAGCACACACCTATTTTTGTTTTGCAGATACCCCTAGACAAATGTCAGTCAATCAGGGTCCTGAATCCTGGAAATCCCCTCACCTCAACCACTGCTATGATTAAAAACTCTACCTCGCCTGGGTTAAGGGCTCTCACTGCTGCATCAGACAGAGAGAACAAGCCCCAGAGCTTGAAGGTAATAAAGACCCTTTGCTTTTAAAGGCAGGATTCGGTCTCTGTGGTGGTCTTTTGGGGGTCCCCATGATCTGGGCATAACAAGTGGAGACAGGATCTTGCGGGGGGGGGGGGGGGGGGGGGGGGGGGCATTCAGCCTGAGGATTCGTAGAGGTAAGAAGTTTCTAGTGGCTGCTGCTCTGCTTCTCTGATCTTTCAGCTTTCACCCCGTATCTGACTGCAGGTTTTTATTATTAAGACTAATTAGGATCGTGCTTCAGTCTAGTCATTGCCCAGGCCACAATACCTTGCAGCAGCTCTTCCCCCATCTCAGATAGCTGCAAGAATCCTGCTGAGAGCAGTGTCTGTGAATCTCTAGTTAAGAAACTCACAGATGCAAAATCTCTCAAAATTTCACTCTGGAGAATAAATTTACATCAAAGGGGGGAGGACGACAATGGTCATACATCCTGCTCCCCATCCTTTTGACTGCTTCCTGCCTGGGAATCAGAAAGCTTGGCTACAGACTTGTCCTGTAAAACCACCCTCACCTCAGAAAAATATGAGACCCCAACTTCTGTCATACAGACCCTGACTTCTTCTTCATAGCCTCAATCAAACTGTTGTTTGTGCCTTTAATAACTCCTCTAATAAACTCTTTACCCCCAACAATCTGTCTCAGAGTTCCTCTTGAACTCACATCTGAATTTTTTCAGGGCCTCCATGGAAAATTAAGGGTAACTCCCTTTCTTAAAATCTGACTTTAATCACACATTCAAGGCTACCTTGCCACGTAGCATAATATATTCACAGGCTCCAAGGACTGCTTATAACAGGACCCCAGACCTTAGGATGCCCCCATGTTGTGGAATAATCTTTTTGTACGCTGTGAAGAATGTCACTCTGATTGATTTAATAAAAAGCTGAATGGTCAACAGTTAGGCAGGATTTCCAGGCACAGAGGATGCTGGGAAAAAGAAGGGAGATACGCCAGGGATGCAGAACAAAGAGCATGGGCATTACAAAGTAACGGTAACTGAGCCACATAAAAGAACACAGATTAAAAGAAATGGGTTAATTTAAGTCATAAGAACTAGTTAGAAACAAGCCTAAGCTATCGGTCAAGCTTTCATAATTAATAATAAGTCTCCATGTCATGATTTGGGAGCTGGCTAGCAGGACAGAGAAAGGCTTGTTATACTCCCAGGCTTAGAGTTTGGAGGTAAGTACAGGTGTTAAGAAGCCATATAGTCAAAGCTTATCATGTCCCTGCCATTTATTGGGGATGCATTGCTCATCCAAGCTTTCTGCTCTGGAAAAACCCGATAGGATCTGCAGTTTTGAAAGACGACTACCTGCGCAAGAAACTGGGTTACAGGTTACTTACAAACTGTAGAACCAGTTTATGTGAGATTGACAAACAGCAAGCTCTAAACTAAAGCAAGGAAGATGAGAACACAGAGCTGAAGTTGAAAGAGATGGTGATGTAAGATCCATCAAGCTTCACTGATTAAGGGTATGGTTCCTGACAAAGAAGGTGAAAGGTTTACAACACGCCCCCACGGTCGGTCGGGCGTATTCACATATGCCCCACGGACACTTCTGCCTAGCCAGTTCCAGGTCAGGATAGCCATTTCCGGGTCAGGGCATCTCGCGTGACCAAGATCCGTGACGTTCCATTGGCTACGTAGGCACGCAACGTGGCCATGTGATCTACACGCTTGCGTGTAGTAGTGACGTTGATCTGTCCACGCCCAGCCTTTAAAATCCGGCGCCATGTTCCTGGTTCCTCCTTCTTCTTCCTTCTTCTTCTCCACACACGTGTTTCCCACAGGCCTGTTCACTCTCTGTCCCTTTATCTTTAATAAAACTCTTATTAGCAGATTCTGTCGTGTTTCGTGACATTTCCGTGCAGGGTAAGAACACAGTGCAGCCGAATAACTAACAGAAGGGAAGGGAGGTATAGGAGGAATTGAGAGTTACATAGAAATTTCTGATATAGGAAGACAAATCTAACTTAAGGAATTAATGCAGACAAAAGGAGAGGGTATGTTGATGAACCTGACCAACATTTGGTTAGGTTTCTTTTAGGCCTTTTCACAGGTAGCTGTCATCCTTTGACCTCTACCTTAGGCCTATGTAGGCCCAGTGTTAGCAAGAATCATCTAAGTTGGTATAAAATGGATCTCCACCCTTGGTAACTGGTCACTCTCACCTGCCCCCAGCGAGGATGTGTTACCTTTGATGTATGTCACCTCTTTATAATCTTCTAATCTTTCATCCAATGACCACCCCCTTTACCTACTGGCTCTAAATTCCACTCTTTGTTGTGTCAGAACTTGGACCTGCTAGCTCAGAACTATGGTAAAAGTTCAGAATTATAGTAATAGTTCAGAACCATGGTAATAGTTCTAAACAATCTTTTCACCATTTCAACAGCGTCAGGATATTTTAACAGTGAAAAATCAAGAACTAAAGTTAATTCCTAGCCCTTCTAAATTTTAATTTGTGGAGTACAAAGAGAAGGTGTCACCACTGCAGATCACAGGGTTCAGCCAGGCTGCTCACACCCAGACTGCTGTGAAAAGCAGTTCCCAGGAACCGGGGCAACAGGGAGCATGCACTGAGCCTTCTGGCACGCTCAGCTGAAGACGGATGACGACCAGCAAGCAGGCCATCAGGGACTCAACTCTGAGATCCAGCACTGAGATTAAAAGCCATCGACCTCCCCACAACCGCGAGAGCGGACCATAAAAGCATAGTCGGCCCTCCTCGCCGCCGAGCCCCTCCCAGCTAGACTGCACACACGACTCCGGTCCCCTACCTCCCACAGCCACGCCCTACTGCGCACGCCTAGGGGGCGGACAACCCGACCCAGGGATGCGTCATTTCCGCTGGGGGCGTGGCGGAGGGCGGGGCGCGGGCGTGGGTGGTGCTCGCCCGGCGGTCGTCTGTTTGGGTTCCGGGCGCCGCAGCTGCGCGAAGGCTTGGCCAGCTGACGCGGACGTCAGCGTCGGCCGGAGACGAGTGGCGGCCGGGGCGCCCGTGACCGACTGTGTCCCGGTGAGTGGCCGAGGGCCGGCGGGGTGGCAGGTGGCTTCCGCGGCGCCGACGCTCCGCCGGGCTCTCCCGCGGGCGTTGCTGGCCGGGCGCGCTGGGCCCCCCGTCCCGGCCGGCGCTGGGCCCAGTCGCCCCAGTGCCGCGGGCGGGGCCGCCGGGGTCGCCGGGGTGTTTGGGTTGGTTACGTCCCGCCCCCGCCGGTGGTCCCGCCCGGCTACTCGGCCGGGGTTGCGTGCAGGGCCCTGGACAGGGTGTTCTCTGGCAGTTCACGGGAGACTTCTAGACAGTTTCTGTGTTCCAGATCTCGTCCTTGACCCGGCAGTGTGCACCTTGTGTTTTGGGGAGCTGAATATTTTCCACTCCTCGGCGATTTATTTTTCTCTTCGTTCGCTATGGTCGTATCCCAGACCGCTGTTGCTTAAGCAGAATCAGATGTGCGTGCCTTTTAAAAGATGAAGAAACATGTCTGAGTCATCAGGTTGCAGTGCCTCCTGTCCTCTTGTCCCTGTCATTTCTGTCATGATGCTGGGGGGGAAACCTGTTTCCACGCCCAATACATTAATAATTTTTTTTTTGGTTTTTCGAGACAGGGTTTCTCTGTGTAGCTTTGCGCCTTTCCTGGATCTCGCTCTGTAGACCAGGCTGGCCTCGAACTCAGAGAGATCCGCCTGCCTCTGCCTCCCGAGTGCTGGGATTAAAGGCCTGCGCCACCACCGCCCGGCATTAATAATTTTAAAGAAAAGTGGTGACACTCGAAGGAATATCTCAGCGATAGATGTTGACATAAGTGACAATCATAGAATACGTTTAAAAATACCATTTTTATTTCCAAGAACAGTTGTATTCTGGTGTGGAATTCCTAAGTGTAGGAAATATATTTTAGTCAGTCAAGATGGTGCATTACCACAACGAAATATGAACACTGTTAAAATGTGAAGATTTTTATAAAAGTACATTAGACAGAACTGAAACTTATGTTTTCATGATGCAGTTAATTGTATCCAATCCCATGTTGCTCTTTTGTGAAATTGGGTATGCATATTAACTCTACCTTCAGTATAATGATGTCGCTTCAAAGTTTTTGCTAATTCTTCTATGTTTTATTTTGTTTTTCTATTTCTACATCTCATTTTAGAATCTTGTTAGCGGTGGCCCTCGTTAATGATGTTGGATTAAAGCAAGGGTCGGTTTCACTAATTTATATTAATAGGTATTCATATGCAAAATTGATACAAGAACAGCCTGTACTTGGAGTTGTTTTCCTCAGCCAGCAAAGACAGGATTTGTTGCTTCATTTGGGGAACATACCTTTGTGAAAAGGTCAGAGCTAGACTCTTGTTTCATCTCAGTTCCAACTCTTTACTCCACATTGCTTGTATTGTATTCTGTTCAGTACCCATTGCTTTAAGAAGTTACTGCTGAATTTTATAGACATCTTTCCTTCGATGCTTTCTGGTTTGCTTGAGGGCGTTTTCTTCCTGTTTCTAACTTTGGATGCCACTCAAAGCCCTATCCACATTGTTCTCCCCAAACCAAGAGTTTAACTTTTGAAATCAAAGTTGTACTAATAGGCCCATGGATATCCTGAAATGTCAAAAATATAGGGTGTGTTTGTAGCTAAGCATTTTTCAAAAGTAAAGAACAGGACCTTTGGTGAGGTCCTGCTCATCCAAATACTGCAGGCCATCCTTTGGTAAACCCTTGTGACCTTACGGTTCAGTTGTCACTGTGCTGATTATTTCCTACATAAATGCAGTCTCTGTGTATTTCTGTTTCAGTGCCCTATCGTTACTTAATTCTGAAATCCAAACGTGGCATTTTTTCCTCTGTGTCTGATTTGAAAATGTGGAGGTCTCTTGACAGCGTCTCTTTATCCCACTGGTGCCTGTCACCAAGTCTTGTTTTTCTTTCTAAAAAATATTTATTTTTATCTTTAATTATGTGTATATGTATGTGTCTGTCTGTAGCTAGTGCAAACTTGAGTGCAAGTGTCTTCAGATGCTAAAAGACAGTGTTGGATCCCTTGGGCCGTGCAGATAGTTATGAGCTGGAAGCTACTGTAGCAGCCTGATGTGGGTTCTAAGAATGGAAATCTAGTCCTCTGGAAGAAGAGCACACACTCTTAACCATAGACCCACCTTTCCAGCCCCAATCATTACTTTATATATCTTTTTTTTCTCCTCGCTTCAAAATGGCTCGCAGTGTCCCCCCTTTCTGCGTTCTTGCTGCATTGCTGTATTCAGACCCATGTTGCCTTTTTGGCTGCATCATTGCAATTATCAGGTGACTATTATATATGTATATCTTTTGTGGGTGTGTTTTGGGGATTGAAACAGGATTTCTGTGTAACCACTCTACCTGTCCTAGAACTCACTCTGTAGACCAGGCTGGCCTCGAACTCAGAGAGATCTGTCTGCCTCCCAAGTGCTGGGATTAAAGGCGTGTGCCACCACCGCCCAGCTATATATGTATATTTATTCCATCCACACTTGGAAGCATTTCCTTAGTCCCTTACTGTCTTTAGTTAAAACCTCACTCCTTTCCCCAGATAGAACTGTCTCCCTTTCTGCTTACACCTTTACTGTGTTGATAACTAGCTCTGTTCTTTCTTGCTCTTGTCCCAGTTTATAGCACTCCTCACTTTCTTTCTTCTCTCTACTTTTGCTGAGTCTTTTGTTGTGCTTGAATTTCCTCTCGAAACATTTTCTAGTGCAGACATTTGTTCAGTAGCAGTGAAGCTTGTTGCACATTTCTGTGTTAAGTAATTATTGATTGATAGTTGTGGTTTTGATAGGTATAATTAGTGTCTCATTTTGTTCACAAAAATCATCTTTCTGTAATACTTTCCATTTTGGGGGCTTTATATTCTATATATTGATGCAAAATTGATAGGTATATGTATTCTTAATTAGATAATTGCATCTTCAAAACTTTTAAAGCACTTTATGGTGTGTGTGTGAATGTGGGTGTGCAGATGTCTCAGAAATTGGATCTTTCTACAATGAGTTGTAGATATTGAACCCAGATCTTCTAGTTTGCATGGCAAATACTTTTACCAGCTGAGAGAGATCGCTGGCCCCAGATGACTGTCATTTTGGAAAGAAGCAACACAGACTGCATGTATAATCATAGTCTAGATCTGCATTGGTCTCTCTTCTGTCTCAGTCTTGGATTGATCATTGTGAATCTTAATATGCCTCCAACCACCTTCAATATAAAAAGCTCATTCTGTCACCAGAATGTTGCTTGCTTTTCTTCTGTCTAGAATTTTTTTTTTTATCAAGATTCTCACAAGAATTCATTTCCTCACTTCATTCAGAGAGCCACAAAAATGTCAAAGTATCAGTTCTTCTGGCTGTCCCATGTAATTAGTATTCTTTGTGCCCTTCCCTTTCTGCTTTAATTCATGACACTATTGTGAGCACAAACTAATTAATATGTATCTGTTTGTTAGTAGTTTGTGGTGATCTACAAAACTAAATAAATAGGTCATCTTCTTGATGTTATGTGTCCCCTTTTTATCTTATGCAAGGTGTTTCCCTTAAATTTTCTGTATCAGGCTTTTATTTGTACTTTTTTACTGTAAAGAATATCATTCCCAAACTTCTCCCAATCCTTATCAGTAGGTTATAGTTATATTTGAGAGCTAGTATGTAGCTAGGAATATTCATTTACAGCATTTTAGTCTCCTTCTTTATTCTTTATTCCTGGTTGCTCTTTTTTTTTTTCCTCTAGTTTTATTCTTCCTGTTGTCTCTGGACATTTAGCCTTACTTAATTTCTAAATTAAGTCCTATTTCTAAAGCTTGCTTGCACATTCTCCTGCTAGCTGTGTGTGCAGATCCTCTCTCTAGGTGATAGTTCATTCCATGGCATGTTTTGTAATCTTTCTGAGTTAATGTTCATTGGTGGTTGCCCCTTGCCCAACATTTGGGAAGTGACTTTGCGTTGGAGTTTTAGTTGTCTCTGCTGGAATTACATGTAATTAACCAGCTCTGACCAGTTTTCATTTGCATAGCACCTCATCAGGTCTTGTAGGTTACCTTGTACTGGTTTTAAGCATGGCTTTTTTTCATGCTAGGTTCATGTAGCTGGAACCCAGGGCTTTCAGCATGCTAGGTAAGTTAAGTATTTTGCCAGCTGAACTATGTCCTCAGCCCCACAGCATGACTTCTTATCTACATGTACTTTATCAGGTATTTCTGTGTGGTGGAAGATGCCAACTGAACTTATCACATTCACTGCAAGTCCCCTGAACCTCAGAAGAGTGAGCCAGGAAGGCAGACAGGCTTGTGTCCTTTCTATTCTTCCTCAGCACAGTGTGTTACAATGTGTAGACCTACCATGTAGAAAGGATTTAGTTCAGACTTTCATCCCCTCAGTCAGTCCTTGTTTTGATTTTCTCAGTATAACTTTGTACTTCTTCCTTATAAGCTACATCCTGAATAAAACTGCATTGCTTGACTCTTGGAAGGTACTCTTTGTGCTTTATTTCATGTTTATTTATTTACTTATTCATTTGTGTGTGAGTGCGTGCATGCGTGTGTGTTTTAACATTATCTAGAATTCTCTCCTTGTCTTTCCATGTGAGTTTCCCTTTATTTGCAATTTTAATTGTGTGTGTGTGTGTGTGCGCGCACATTATACAGCATCTTGCCCTGTAACCCTGGCTGGTTTCAAACTTGTGGTTTTCCTGCCCCAGCTTCTTGAGTGTTGAGATTACAGGCATATGCCACTATGCTTAGCACTTTTATTGTTTTAACCAATCATTTCAGATGATTCCATTGTTTTCCTTTCCTAGCATGTTAGTCATAGCTTTAAAAGAGTGCATTTGTTTAGTGTGTGTGTGTGTGTGTGTGTGTGTGTGTGTGTGTGTGCGCGCGCGCGCGCGCACGTGTAATATAGCCCATGACGGTCAGAGGGCAACTTGAGAGTCAGTCAAACCCAGGTCATCAGACTTTGGCAGCAAGTGCCTTTATCTACTTAGCTATCCCACTAACCCTCACCCATATCTTAAGAAAAAAAAATTAGTACTTGCTCTTAGAGTTTGTAATATATAGATGAAACTAATCTAAATGCAGTTTGAAATAACAGTGTGTACTTCATCGATAATATGAGTAACTTACAATAACATAGTAACCCTCCTGTCTTCCTCCTTTCCCTTGTACTATCATTTCACCAGTGTATGAGCGTTGAACCTCTACAATTAAAATCAAGCCTTTCTTTTTAGTTCATATTAATTGTGTAAAGTAATGATTTTGTTGTGACATTCTCATGCATGCATATAACCTTTCATCACCCCACTCCATTGTCATATGTTCTCCCTACCCTCTCTCCTCCCACCTTGTCCTGGTCCCCTTTCTTTTCCCTAATAGTTTACCTTTTACTTTTATGCCATGTCATTCTCACCCCTCAGATTCCACTGTAAGAGAAAACTTGTGGTACTTTTCTGACACTGGATTATTTTGTTTAATATGATATGACCAGTTCCATGTGTTTTCCATCAAGTGACATTGACTCTATTGTGTGTCTGTATACAACATTGTACTTGAGTTGATTTCTATAACTTGGCTGTTGTAAATAATAAGACAGGATAGAAGGGAAGGTTGATGCACATGTGCTATTCAATGGACAATTTGCTGGAGTTTGTTCTTCACATTCACTATGTGAGTCCAGGCGTCATCATGGTTGGTGGCAAGTGCCTTTGCCCACTGAGCCATCTCATTGGCCCACATACCCAGTTTTCCAAGTACATTTGCTACAGAGGTTGTCTTTATTTTTTTTTTTTACATTTTATAGAATCTTTATTGAGGGCTGTAGAGATGGCTCAGAGGTTAAGAGCACTGCTTGCTCTTCCAAAGGTCCTGAATTCACATGGTGGCTCACAACCATCCATAATGAGATCTTGTGCCTTCTTCTAAAAAAATAAAATTTTTCTAATTTATTTATTTATTATGTATACAGTGATCTATCTGCATGTATCCCTGCAGGCCAGAAGAGTGCACCAGACCTCATTACAGATGGTTGTAAGCCACCATGTGCTTGCTGGGAATTGAACTCAGGACCTCTGGAAGAACAGCCAGTGCTCTTAACCTCTGAGCCATCTCCCCAGGCCCCCCCCCCAATCTTTATTGACAAATAATTCACATAGTATACAATTTGCCTGTTCGTACAATTAGATAGACTTTAGTTCAGCATCCTCATAGGCCTGTGACACCATCACCACTTTCTATTTTAGAATATCACTGTCTTCAATTTCATACACACATATAATGTATGGTGATTACATTCCACCTTATATTTTTAAATGAACATAATATTTGCAATTGTAACCATTTTTAAGTTCATAATTCAGTGGTATGAATTACATCCAAGATATTAATTACATTCATGATATTCATTAATTACACTCATGATATTAATTACATTTGTGGTATTCATTGATTACATTCGCAGTATTCATTCAATAACTATATTTATGATACGATTTATTACATTCATGATACTATGTCCTGATACTACTATCCGTTTGTGGGGCTTTTTCATTACACAAAACAGATACTCTGTACTTAGGAAATCATTGCTCTATATTCCTTTCTTCTCCATCTTGAGATAATGTCTAATCTTTCTGTCTCTATGAATTTGTATATTCTATATATTTCATGTAATACAATTCTATAGTATTTGTCCTTTTTCTAGTGTAAAAACATTTTATGTACAACTGCAGGAGAAACAATACACAGTTTAAACATAAAAACAGGTTATAACGCCTTTAATCCCAGCACTCGGGAGGCAGAGGCAGGAGGATCTCTCTGAGCTCGAGGCTAGCCTGGTCTACAAAGTGAGTTCCAGGAAAGGTGCAAAGCTACACAGAGAAACCCTGTCTCGAAAACCAAAAAAAAAACCAAAAACAAACAAACAAAGAACAGGTTATAATTCAAAAGTCCAGGGTTATTTGAAAATGGAAAATATTTTCTCTGTAGAAAATAGTAAAAATCATAACATTTCCCAGTAAGCCCTTTTAAGCCAAATAATAGCTGAATTATACATATACATTTGATTAGATTCTGGGACACAGAAGAAACTTATCTTCATCTGTTCAGAGAGCTGTGTTTTACTTAAGTTGTGTAAGTGAGATTCCTACTCATCTTTTTCACTGTTTGATGTATGGCAGACATTTTTCTATAGTTTAATCCATAATCTAAAAAGATTTTAGCCTTCCCTCCTGAGAGTACAGCCAGCATTTCCTTTCATCAGCTTGATAAGGTACAAATTCTTATCCTAATAGTGAAATGTTTCACTAAAGCTTGTCCATTGATTGGGCAAAACCAAAACTTATTATAAGCCACAGTCATCCTAGGATCCTCCATGCTGGGTAGCCTCCCTGGATCTGTGGGTTGCAGTCTGATTGTCCTTTGCTTTATATCTAGTATCCATTTATGAGTGAATACATACTATGGTTGTCCTTCTGAGTCTGGGTTACCTCACTCAGGGTGATATTTTCTAGTTCCATCCATTTGTCTGCAAACTTCATGCTGTCATTGTTTTTCAGAGGTTGTCTTTAACATGTGTTTTTGGTCTCTTTCTCAAGAATCAGTCAGTGCATGGGTTTATTTCTTGACTCTGTTCTGTTCCATTTATTGGTATGTCTGTTTTTATGCTAATACTATGTTTTTTGTTACAGCTCTAGAGTCCATCTGCTTTTGCTCAAGATTACTTTGGCTATTTTGAATTTTAGGATTTTTTTTCTACTTCATAAAGAATATTATTGATATTTTGGTGGGGATGCATTGAATCTGTATATGTCTTTTAGTAATAAAGGCATTTTAATTATATTGATTGTGTTGCTTTATGACTGTGGGAGGTCCTTCTACCTTACAGTGCTTTAATTTCCTTTTTCTTTAATATTTTATATTTTTTACTGTAGAGGTCTCTTATCTGCTTTGGTTTACTTATAGGTATTTTCTTTGGAGTTGGTGGCTACTGTGAACGGAATTAATTTCCTATTTTTTTTTCTTAGCAAGTTCATTGTTGGTAATAGAACAGCTACTGATTGGGTAGGTAGGGCTAGTGGTGCAGGTTTATAAACCTACCTACCAGGGAGCTGAGAGAGTAAGATTACAAACTCAAGCCTTGCATGGCTACAGAGTGAATTCAAGGTCACTCTGTTCAATTTAATGAGACACTATCAAAATGAATTAAAAAGAGACTTGGACATATATCTCAGTGGTACAGAACTGCTACATACATATGGTAGCATAAAAGAAACCCTAGGTACTAGGAGAAAGGTAGTAATTTTGAGTTTGACTTTTTGTTTTTCTAAGATCTTGAAGTATATTAGCAAGTTATTTATTTGTTACTACTCTGATTTCTAAATGTGGATATTCATAGCTATGTGCTTCACTCTTTAAACTTATCTGTGCTGTTTTCTACACGTTATGATAAGTTGAGTTATCATTTTCATTTGATTCTATGAACTGACTATGAGGACCCATTAATAATTGAAAAGTGTATTTTCTAATACCCATTTTTTTTTTTTTTTTTTTTTTTTTTTTTGGTTTTTCGAGACAGGGTTTCTCTGTGTAGTTTTGCGCCTTTCCTGGAACTCACTTTGTAGCCCAGGCTGGCCTCGAACTCACAGGGATCCACCTGGCTCTGCCTCCTGAGTGCTGGGATTAAAGGCGTGCGCCACCACCGCCCGGCTCTAATACCCATATTTTTTGTTACTCTTGCTGTTTATTTCTAGATTTCTTCCATTATGATCTGATAAGATACAATAATTTTTAAAAATTGGTTAGGATTTGCTTTGTGGCCTAAAATAGGGCATATTTTAAAGGAAGTCTCTTGAGTTGCTGAGAAGAATGCATTTTCCACAGCTGTGGGTGAAATATTCTTCAGAGTATGTTAAGCCCTTTTGATCTTTGGTCAAGTTTTCATCTGAAGCTTCTTTGTAAATTTGAGGGTCAGTTCTGAAACATTCTGAGTAGGATATTAAAGTCATCTGCATTATTGTTCAGAACCTATCTGCTTATGACCATTAGTGTCCGTCCATTTTTATGAAGTCTGGTGCACCAAGATTGATGTGTGTATATTACACTCATTGCATGCTATTAATGGATTACCCTTTTATAGAGTCCCTTCTTTGTATTTTCAGCCTAACTTGACATCAAGCCTTCTTTGTCAGCTATGAACTAGCTTCCCCTGCTTGCTTTCAGATACCATTTGCTTGAATATCACTTTCCATCCATGTTTGCCCTTGACAATGAAGAAAGTTTGTTGCAGAGAGAAAACAATTTTTTTTAATTTGTTAATCTTGTTT